GAATCTTTTTTGAAAGTAAAGCCTTCACTTTGCTCAAAAAACAACTCAAGAGTTCCGAGTTCATTTACTAATAAATGTATTAGCCTAAGCATTAGCATTTTCTATGTTTTTTCATTGTTTCTGTAGCTGATAAACTAACCTGTTAATTAACTTGACTCATTATCATGATAATCTATTGATAATAATGTTAAATCAGATAACAAGGTTATTAATATTTAATTTGCTTTTATGTTCTCCTTTTTCCCCTGAAAACTCAAAATCAGAGTACATGTACATACATGTATATTTTTCATGTTGAATTTTTAATTCCAATGAAAAATATTACTTTTATTCATTAAATGATTATGATAGGAAAGTATAAAGGAGAAGTCAAAACCTTTCGGACTTTATAATTATAAATATATTAATACCTCATGAGATTAGTTAGATCTCAATATCAGTGATAATAATTAGTAAATAATAAAAGTTGACGATCACCTTGATTAACATGGTATTTTCCATGATCATTGTAGTGAAAAGGATTTTACTTCACTGAATCTATCTTGAACTTTTCTGAACTTTCACTTTCTTATCTCTCGTGATAATCAATATATTCTCGCATCAGTGATAATCAACTTTAATTAAGACTTGATAAGATGAGAAGGAGAATTGTGAATCTTTCAGATCAATTTGAAATTGCATGATAGTAACTTTGAGTTGAGGTTCATGACGACGATGATGATGATGTGATAAGATTGTTACAATTATAGTTATGATTGCAAATGGCAAACAATCCTGATGAACAAACCTTTTGATTCCGTGATGAAAATCAAGCTTACATGATAAATTATAACTGAATTAAATCATTTATATATAATCATGAACTTTTATTTTTCCCTGTCAATTGAATAACAAGAATAAAAGACTCAGACAACTGAACTTTCCTCTTTAACTTGAACAAGATGATCATCTTAATGCATTTTCCAATGCAAATTCAATTGGATAAAACCAAAGGAAACTACAATATAAATCCAATAATGATAATTTCATCATCCTCATCATGATTGAATCTGTTTGCTATTTTTTATCATCATAATGTTTATATGTGTATTATATTGTTGTTGTTGTTGTTATATTATAACAAGCAACTTGAAATATATCAAAATACTGAATCAGATTGAATTAAAGTAAACACCATTACGAAATTTACTTAATCAGTTATCGTTTTGTGTATTATTTATTTATTTTTTCTCACTAATCCATCCGGGGATTGAGATAACAATATAAATATCATGTTCATGATGAGTTATCATGATTGTTATATTATTTCATTGGTGATCAATTGATTGTTACTATTAATAAAAAAGCTAAAGTAAATTAATTATGATTGATGATGATTCCAATTGTAACCTTACCTGTGAGGATTGATATTGAATTTCAAACAATTAATTCAATGGGTTGAATATTGTATATGAATTTCCACCTTGACCTTGACATGATCAGATTGATTGGTTCTTGATTTTCCCTTGATGGTTTAGATTTTCAATAGAGACAAACAATCAATTCTGATTGATTGGTTAACAATTGTCTCCAATGTAATATATTGAAAATATAATATTTATGTAATGATAATGATGAACATGAGGCAAAAAAAAGGTTCAGTCCATTCAGTCAATACTCAGATTCCATAAATATAAATAAATATTATCATGTTATTAATATATCCTCAGGAGTAAAAGGTTCAACTTTATTTTCATTTCTTTTACCATGATAACAATATTCAATATTAAATACAAATTCATTTGAGGATAATAATAAATAATAACTTTGCACTTATGTAATATTCATAAATAAAAGATAAAGAAATAAATATAACAATAGTTGTAGATTTTACTGTTTTTTCAATGGACTGAATCTCTGAATTTGTCTCAAGATATTTAAATCTCATGGTCACCTTTAATAATAATTTATTCTGAATATAATGGTTATTAATTTTTCTTCTTCTTGTTTTTCAACTTTTCTTCAGGTAAACTGAGTGGTTTGTGTGGGTATGTTTGGTTAATTGTATTTAATACACATGAGAGTAGAAAGAATCGAAAAGAAAATAATGATTAAAATTATATTCGTGTATTAATTTAATATAATTATCTCTTTCTTTTCATTCATTTCATGATTCGAATAGAGAAAATTCTGATTCCTAAGTTTAACTCTTTTTCTTTTCATCTATCGAGTTGATGTGTGTGTGTGTATTTGTGTTACTGTTGACCATCATCATGGCTCAGTATCATTTCCAGAGGTTTTATTATCTTTTCATGAAGATTTTCCTGTTACATCATCTTTGTGATTGTTTACCTTTTTTAGAAGCATGATAAGAAATATCTACTAGCTGATCATGGAAGGGAAAGAAAATTATGTCACGGAAGAAGATGAAGGAAAATGATGAGGATGCAAGGATGTAGAGAGATGGAGAGATAGAATGATTTTAAGAGAGGTAGAAAGGAGCTGTTGAGCTGGGAGAAAGTGTAAAGATTGATGAAGATGTACCAAGAGTGTAGTGGAAAATAGTAGTTGATGAAAAAACTATTCAACGATTTTGTTATCAGAAACTTCGAGGATAAAGGTTGGTGGGTGGTGGGCGAGGGACTTTGCGTGAGTAATTTATGTGTCTTCGATTTTTTTTCATTATCCACACCAGCAGATAGACAGAAATTTCTACCGTCATCACTTCCACTTTTTCTTACAATTTTTCATCTTGTTTTCCATTCAAGATACTCTACAGATTTTCAGTTCTATTGACAATGTTGAAGAGTTATGTTGAATTGTATTCTAATAGTAGAGAGAGTGAGAGAGAGAGAGAGAGAATAAACCACAGAGAGAAACATTTTTCAAGGAGAGAAAAATGAAGAAGATGAGAGATGTGAAAGAGTGAAGATGATGATGAAGGTGAAATTGATGAAAAGTAAAATCTCATGTGAATATTACTCTTTGTCTAACTTGATATATTGCAAAAGTGGAAGGTAAAAGAAGCAGAAAAAAAGTTATCCATGATGATTACGGTTTCCTCTTCATCCTAATCCTCCATCTCTCTCTATCTCTCGTTCTCTATGGTTTATCAGAGGTTTACCTGATGTTCAGCTGGAATTGAATTGAAAAACATAAAAGTAAAACTCAATTTTTGATTATCTTTTGATTCTTGAGAACAAAAAAATAGTTCAATAGGAAGAAAAATATTACAGAGGAAAACATCAATTCCAATTTTCCATGTTAACCAGAACGTAAGAGAAAAGATAAACTCCTCCTACGATAGATGAAATTGAATTTCAAACTTGAAGAAATAACATTTTTCACCAATTCGAAAAAAAGTCAAAATAATTTGAGCCAAGTTATCAGATTTATTCCATGATCATCTTAACAGGACATTCATGAAAATTCATGTTGAGATGGATATCGAAAGTGTATTAATACCTAACAAAGTTTTCACTTTTTAAACAGTAAAAGTGTTTCTCTAAATTAAATTATCAACCTCATTGTTGATCTATTACTACGATAGCAATTAACTCTTGATGGTCTTTCAATTTACAGAATGTTATTTTTTGATATTTCTCTTAAATCTGGTTTATTCAATTTTTGGAATTGATTCACAACTTTTTTATTAGGTTAAAATTTCTTTCGAAACGATTGCGTGTAAATATCAAGTTTCGTCAGAAATTGCATCAACAACAATACCAGAAAATGAAGATTGGTCCATCAAATATACTCCACCTAAGGAAATCCAAATGGCTTCAAAGCGTTCTATTCACAAAATGACCTTAAATCTCGCTGTTTTTAGGTCAGTCAATACTCGATGTATACCGTTCGTGGTTAGAATGGCCCGATAGCTATGAGTACGAAGGTTCATGAGAATTTGAGCAGCTCTGTATATCAGAATTGTAATGAAAGAGTAAGATGAAGATATATGAACCTGAATGATTTCATGATGTGATGATGATGCTGTTCTTGTCAGTGGGACTTGTTGCTTGTAACATGTCATCATCTCAATCTTAATTCATGTCTATCTCTTTAAGGCCCTTTTCTTCATCTTCTTTGCCTTTTTTCAACTATATCATCATCTGATTCTGATGTTTCATCATTATCATTATTTTCTCAACTTCTTTCTCTCCTTCACTTCCCTATTATCACCAGAAAATATCAGAATACATTTCAAATTGGATCTTCCTTTTTCTCTGGAAATGTTTCCTCTCTCCTCTACTATTACATTGAAGTTTTCTATTTCATCCTCAGAGTCTCCATTCAGTTCTGTTACTTTCTTTTCTTTTTCTTTCTTTCTTTACTCTGTTATCTTCATCGTCATCATGTTTATTATATATCATTTACATTGCCAAATGAATCAGAAAACTCCAATGTTTTGAGACTTGCGGTTAAAAATTTATAATCATATCGAACCATTTGATTGACTTAATCAATTCTAATCTATTCACAACTAATTTCACGATAATCATCACGAAATGAACTTTTCTCTCCAAATATTAATACATCTTTTTTTATTTCATCTTCTTACATCGTGATGAGAATAAATTTCATGTGATAATTTTTCATTATGATATTTTTTTCCAATTACAATCCAATATTTTCATCATCATCTATCTTTTTATATCATCATGAGGATTCCTTATGTTTCAATGATGATAATAGTTGTGAAGAGGCAGAGAAGGAGATTGAAAGAGTACAAAACAATTGATTGATTTACACTCATTCCTTGTTCCCAAATTTAATCTACAAACTTGAATAAGATAAGCTCAAATTTTGGGTAAAGATTGTGCTCAAGATAAAAGGATTCTATGAGATGTTGAGGTACCAAAAAATAGAGCGGAAATTATTACAGTAGCGAAAAATAGTACGAAAAAAATCTGAGTAGCCGTTCATGAGAAATTCTGACTCAAACATTTTTATGTACGCATGCGCAGTTAAGCTTTTTTACAGTGCGCATTTCAAAAATAAAGAGAAAGACAGAGACAGAGAGAGAGATAGAGAAAGAGATGAGAGAGAAAGAGAGGAGGCAGAAAAAGAGACGCGAAAGAAAAAGAGACGAGAAAGAAAGACAGTCAGAGAAAGTGAAAGAGAAAGAAAACGAAAAAGGAAGAGAGAGAAAGAAAGAGACCAGAAATAAAGGAAAAAGAGAAAGAGCAACAAAAAGAAGAAGCAATTTTTATTCAAATTGCAAATTCTACTATTTCATTATCCAAAGTGAAAGATATTTTAACACAATTTGTGTTGAGACTTTACTGTTACCACAAGTTAATCTTTCAAATGATCAACTAAATTCGGTTGTAAATAATTTTGATCTAATTTACACTGATGGTGATGAAGGAGAAGAAGATGAGGTTGAAAAATTAACCACAATTGAAGGGTTTGAAATAGATGTCACATTAGATAAGATTTGTAATGTTCTTAGAAACGATTTTCCTGATCTATGTACTTATGCATTCTTCCTTCAAGATAGACAATTATGTTTTGGAGAGCCAATAATTGATCAAGGTAATCTAATTGATGGTGCCCGAAGTCAAACCAGTTTAATTAATTTGAAACTAAAAATTGAACCTGAAACCAAGACGGTCACCATAGTTGATATATTAAAACCAGTTGATGATGACGATGATTATGATGAGGATCGTTTAATATCAGCTAATAATGAAAATATTTTAAACAACTCTATTAATGTTAATAATAACAATGGCAATCACACCAATTCAAATAGTAATCAATCAAGTATTGGCGGACAAGATGGTGGACATAATGGTGATGATGATTATTACGATGATATTATTTACAATACACCAAATACAACACCAATACGTACACCAAATATGAAAACGTGTCTTTCATTAAAGGAGAAAAAGTTAATTGGTGGTGTTAAACGTAGCTCATCTAAATCAACAACAACAGCAATTAAAACAATAGAATTGGACAAGATTGAACCATTCTCACCGGGTAATCGTTCGGGTAACAATGGACAAATCCAATTATGGAGATTTCTTCTAGAACTGTTAACTGATGCCGATTATCGTGAATATATCCGCTGGGAAGGTATCGAAGGTGAATTTAAATTTATCAAACCCGAAATGGTTGCTCAATTGTGGGGACAACGGAAAAACAAGCCCACAATGAATTATGATAAACTGTCACGAGCTTTACGTTATTATTATGATGGTGATATGATTGCCCAAGTTAATGGTAAACGTTATGTTTACAAATTTGTCTGCGATCTCAAAAGTTTAATTGGTTATGATGCTCAAGAATTGGATGCCATGGTTATTGATACACAAATGTCGAAATAATCGACTTTGTTGACAATCAATTAAAATTTACCATCAATGGTTAATCATTAATTTCACTATCATCATTCATCTTAAAAAGAAAACAAACATATTCTTTAATTGTTTAAACAATCATCTTTTCTACGCCTGGAACAATTATTAATTTAAATATTTCTAACAAAATTATGAAGTCAACTTGATACACACTTATAACTAATTGATCATCAATCAATCAATCAACAATTTGGAAAGAAATGATACCTTTGAGACCTTTGATTTTCTCTCTCATTCTCTGTCGACTACTATTTGTGATGAAAATTATGCTATTCATCAACAATCAACTTTCTAATTGTGAAAAATAAAGGGTCAAAATACATGGTCTTAATTACAATTAAATGAAGAAAAACAAAAACAAATTCACCTGTTTGATCAACTTAGGTTAATTTCATTATTCAACAAGTGACAGTTTTTTCGTTTCCAAGAAACAAAATCATTTGATTGTTGTCACAATCATGTTAATACACCTTCGGAACACAAGTCAAGTTAACAATTCTCTCGGTTATCATTGCAAATAACAATTGTTTAGCTTATTCTTGGCATTTAACAGTTCAACTAAATGGTCACATCTTTCATATATACGATCAGTGTCAACTGAATTGATTATAATTATCGGTGTTAATGAATAAACTCGAGGTAGACTCTTTTTGATATGCGCTTTTGGCATTAATCTTTGTCATTTTCGTTGTGCTAATTGTTCAGCTAATTAGTTGATTTTATTTCTCAAGAAGATTTCAGATTAATAGGCAACAACTAACAACGAAAAAAATTTACACCCAAATAGATACTCAACATCATCAACTCTCTTTCTCTCATCTCTTTTTCTCTCATCTCTTTTTCTCTCATCTCTTTCTCTCTCTCTCTCTCTCTCTCTCTATTAGTCTCTTTTTCTTCACATCTCAGGAAATCTCATTTTGTTGATTTCTCAAATTTACGTAATTTACATTAAATAAATGCAAGGCTTTGGTCAACATTAATTTATTAATAACATTTTAAATTTTGAAACATGAGGATTTTAAAGGATAAGATCAAATATTTGGTTGCAATTATTTAACTAATATCCTTATTTTTCAGGTAATGTTTAAATTGTTTGACGTTAATTATCCTTATTTGATTTAATTGCAATTTTGTCTGGTAACTGATCGAGTTAAGTTTCAATTGAATTGTAAATTTATCGAGTTGTTGATTAACTAAATCAATCGAGTTTCGCTTTGTAATTGTTCACATTTCAAATATCTCGAGCTCAAATTCAAGTTCAGAATTGGAATCAATTAATTATAAGCGCAATCTTAATCACTTACAGACAAAAAAAGTTTCATCTACTAATCTACTAATTAATTTGATTATGATAATTAAAGGTAAAGGTAGAAGAAGAAACAAAAAATTAATCACAATTAAAGATGAACAATTACTTTAAGTATACAGACAATCATATCGTTTTAAGACAATTAACAAGTTGATTAAGGTTAAGCATCAAACTTTTCACTTCCAATTCTAACCAACCTTTTCCCTCTCTTAATTGTTACAATCAAGATAACATTTAAATTCTTCACAGCTATACAATCAAGACAATTAGTTAACAGCATGTTAATTGTGATTGGGTGGTTTTTGTTAATCACCAGAAATGATGATAAAAACTCAACAATTAACACAAATGATAAATTTAAATCTATCTTAATCCAAAAGGGTAAAGTGATTAACTTGGATTGATAATCAATCAAAATAAAAATCATCAACAATCAACTAATATTGAAACAATTTAGACATAAAATAATATTCAGGCGATGATAATCAATTGAATCATAATTGTAACACCCGAGTCATAATATGATTAATTATTATTAACCAACAATGAAAGTTTGTTACCATTAAACTGGTTATGTAAATCAGATTGAATTAAATAACAATCAAGGAAAAAAAGTTAATAAAACAGAATGAATTTAAGTGAATTATTTAAAAGAATCAAAGTTGATTAATAAAAAAGGTTAATTGATTGATTAAGCCTAGAGAAAATTAATCAACAGTATTAATTATCATTAGATTGAGATGGATTATCCAAATTGAATTTAATTCAATAACTCATCATAATTCAGATTAATCATATTGGTTTAAAAAATTAGTTAATAGAAAAGCCCTTAAATAGTAGTAAATTATGATGACTTTGTTTAGAATTGAAAAGAGACATTCATGTAAAGAAAGTAACCTGTGTACCGTACAATTAGATGATGAGATTAATGATGATAAAGGTAAAAAAATTAATCATGATTGTTGTTGGTGTTGATGATGATGGTTGATTGACGATGAATGAAATAAAGTAGATGATGACGATGAATACATGATTAGGAAATAGAGACCATGGAAAAAGAGGCAGTAAACTCAATCAGTCTAAGGGTGAAGATGAATTTTCCCACCATTGACGAGATCAACATTCGCAGATAATAGGTATTGTGACCGAATATGAATACACCCCAATCAGGTCACAAAGAGGGTAGAAAACAGTCAAGGTACCAGGATAGTTTTAAGACCCAGATAGACAAGACCAACATTGGCAAACGTCCTAAAATCTCGATAAGTTGAATGTATCGGCGTTTTTCATCAAAATGTACATGACGGTCTCAAGACATTCCATTATTTTGGCCCAGAAAAAATGTAAACCGTAAACGGAAAGAGCCGTTTGATTTCCTTGGTTGAAGTGTCAATCGGCTCACAGGACCAGCAAATTGTCCCAAAATTGGTTGTCCAAAGAGCCGACAAAAGGCCAACACCATGTACACCAAACTGGTAACCATTGTAAACCAATAGATGTGGATAAAGGTTAAAGGGTTGCCTTAGGGTCATCCATTGGGTCCAAATACTTTAACGAAATAATAGTAAACAATGAAAAGGACAATCAGTTTTTAGCAGTTTCTTGACTATCCTTTACATTGAAAAATAGTTTAACATCCAAATCCCCATTTGATTGTGTGACATTTGTTTCTACGTAATAATTTGATATTAAACACTAATTAAATAGTAAACAATTAATTACTCATGAGAAAAAGTAAACAAATGATGTCTGATTGAATGAAAAGCCTGTTAACACATAGAGAAAATAATGAGAAAAACAAGACGCGTGTTTTTCTTATGGTGGAAAATTGAATCACCCGTTGATTAGAATAACAATTAAAAAAGGATCACTTGGTAGACAACAATCAGTTGATTGAAAAATTGAAATAAAACACAATAAATAAAATAATAGAAAAGATGGAAAAGATGGAAAAGGAAAAGGAAAAAAAGAGAATCAAACTGATAGTTGGTGAAAGAAAATTGAGAAACAATAATAATGAGAAGCAAAGTAGATGACTGATGATGTTGATTGTTTTGTATTGTTTACTAAATGTTACTATTGGACAATCAGTTTATCATTTAGTTAGTCAACTGTAAACACTACAGAAATGAACTTATGCCACCCAGAAAAATGTTGAAATGAGCTAAAACAGGTAACATTTTCAGGTAATCGATTATTGTTTTTTCTTGATTCTTGGCGTTTTAACTGTGAACCTTTAACAAAATATAAGTTACGTTTTCAACACGATCTGAGGTGATACTTAACCGTTACCACAAATTAATCTTTCAAATGATCAACTAAATTCGGTTGTAAATGGTTTTGATCTAATTTACACTGATGGTGATGAAGGAGAAGAAGATGAGAATGAAAAATTAACATCGAAAGGATCGAAATTGATGTTACATTAGATAAGATTCGTAATGTTCTTGAAACTTTTCTTTTCTTTTTTTCTCTTTCTCTTTATTTCTCTATTTCTCATCTCTCTCTCTTTCTCTTTTTCTCTTTTTCTCTCTCTCTCTCTACCTGCTTCTCTCTCTCTTTCTTCTCAGGTAATTTCTACATTTAGTTGATTTCTTGGTCTAATTTGACTTGAAATATATGTTTATAAACATTAAAATGGCTTTGGGTCAACATAAATTTGTGTTAGGATATTTGAATGTTGTAAATGAAAAATTGTAAATTAAAATTAAGCTTTTAAGGGATAAGGTTAATTAATTGATTGCAATTAGTAAATTTAATATTCTTCTTTTTTGCTGTCAAAATTGTCTTCACAATCCCTCATTTGATTCAATTCTTTATGTAAACTGATCGTGTTACGATTTAAATTGTGTTGTCAAATAATAACGTATAGTTTATTAGGTGAATTAATCTTCGGCAAGGAATCAACAGCTCTGATAAAAATTTGATTAAAATGTCAAAAATTGCAATTGTAAGTTGATTTTAATATCGATATGTTATATAATTATGATGAAGATGATAAATCAATTAGTTATTCAGTTTGAATTTATATATCTAACCTATGCACCGAGTCAAATTAAAGGGTTTTTCCATTAACTGGAAAAGGTAATTAACTCGGTGAATGTTGGTTAAATGTCAACTGATTGTGAAAAATAACCGAGCTTCACCTTTTCCATTAACTTTTTGCCGTAGCTTTCACTGAGCTTTTCATTTAACTAACAAGTAGTCTATTTGTAGTGATGATTAGATAATATTTTAATATAAACCTCATCATAACTCAGATTGATCATATTATTACAAAATTTAGTTAATGGAAATGCCTTCAATTGTGATGCTATCATTAACCTCTATTTATAATATAATTCTGGTCAAGTTTAGCTTTACTAACCAACAAGTAGCTTACAATTAACTTGATTATGGTGATGATTATCAAGTAATACAATTTATTTAAAATATCAGTCGGTTGGTTAATTATCAGCTGATTTCAAAATTAACCCAGCTTTGCCTTTCCATTTGTTTTTTGTTGTAGTTCTACTTTGATTTTCAAATAACCAACATGTAATCTAATCTTAGTAACCATCAGATAATCAAATTATTTTGTTTTTTAGTTTACATGTAGATACTGTGGTTTCTGTTCAGAAGATGTCGAAGGTTTATTCATGCATGGATGTACAGAATATGATAATGAAGTTAATAATGACTGGGATTTGAAATATATTAATAAATATTCAAGATTGAAAAAACAACGAGATCTTATGAAATTAAAATCAATCAAGACGTACAAGTGGATTCAGAAGCTGAAATATCATAAGTCGCTCAACGATCATCAACCGAGAAAAAACGGAAGACCAAAGAAAAACAAAGATGAAATAAAAAGAGTTTAGAGATGAAAATTTTTGTACAATCTGAAAGTTCTATTGGTTATGATGGTGAAAATCGACTCTCATGGTTATCGATACACAAATAAGTCGAAATAATTGACTTTTTTGACAGAAAATTAAAATTTAAACACAAAGATTAATCATTATTCCAT